AAAAGGTCAAGGATGGAATATCGTTGAGATTCTTAGTCAGCCCGATAAGGGGCCACTTGATCTTTGTGCTCGACAAAATGCAATGGTTTGGGACGACCTAATAACTATTGAGATTCCTGGTGATTCTGATCAAAATGAAGGTGAGAACAATCAAGGAGTCGATATCGCTGGTAGAGGTCGGGGCGCATCTAAAAGGAATAATTCATCGGTGGAAGGTGGTAATCAGGATTCCAACCAGGCCACATCCAGGAGGAGCTTGTCTGAAGATAGTTCTTCCGCAAGAAGATCGTCTTTGTCTACCAGTGCTCCAGCCACATCGTCCTATTCTATTTCTAATTCAAGTAAACAAAAGTGGAGCGAAAGATTAAATCGTGTTAAGGAAAAATTTAACCTTGATAATGTTGGGAAAAAGGATAAAAATAATATGGAGGGAAAAAGGACCAAACAAGTTATCGTCGAGAGGTTGGAAATTTTGAATGGTAGTACTCCATTTTTCACTTGGTGCTGAACGATGAGGACATATACTCGGTGTACAGTATATTACTTGTTATTAATTAGATAAATAGACTTTTCAATTGTCAGGTTCAATATATATATAGAACATAGAACTTGGAAATTATATATTGTATTTACGTTAACAGTCACATAGTAAAATCGAATATGTATACTTTGTAACATAAAGAAACGGTATATTGGTTATTAGGTTTAGGCAATGTAACTAAGTTCAGAAATAACAATAGTATACTTTGTAAATTCGAAATAACCCTCATAAATTACGTTAAATTTTTATTTTTATGCTTATGCTTTCACGCAAATTTTATTAAAAAAAAATAAATATACAGTATATTTGAAGATTACTGAAAATTTTTAAAAGTCAATAATTTAATTATTAGGGATTCTAACAAATCGGGTTGAATCTCTTTTTTTTTTTGCTAACCTGCAATCATGCCATAATGATTCATCTTTATTGAGAAATTAAAAGAAAAATCTATAATATTTTATAGAGTTTTATAAAGTGACTAACTTATTATCATACTTAAGTACTCTAAGTCAGTTTTTGAAAACAATATTACATTCCCTGATATTATTGGATTAATCACTATCTACTAAAATCATTGTCAACAGTTTGTTACTAGATTGATCTAAATTGCTAAATAGTAAAAAAAGAAACAATTCAAGATTTATCAAAAATATTAAAAAAAAACCCCAATTTTTTTTTAAAAAGAAAACTATCTAATTGGAATAGTTTTTTTGTTTCACTTGAATATTAGAAGAAATTTTCTTTTTCACCATCTATGATATTAAACAAGTTAATATAATTAATTCTTTATTTAAATAAATATCAGATTTAAATATCTCAAAAGAAAATTCAAACCTTAATTTTTATTTATTAAAATTTTGTTATCATTTGAAAAACTTAAGTAAAAATAGAAATTTGTAATTTATATTATTTATTTTTAATCTTTTAATATTATATATGTTTCTTTAAAGAACTTAAACTTCTAAAAATAAATATTTATATAATATTTTTTTCAATTATCAATAATATTATCAAAATACATAAGTATAATCTATAGAAGCTTATTTTTTTTTTTAACCCACAATCATGCCATAATGGTATGTCTTTATTAAAAAATTAAAAATGAATTTACAATATTTTACAGACTTTTACAAAGTAACTAACTCGTTTTCATACAAAAGTACTCTA